TGCAATGATGCTAGGCCATTTGCACCGGATCGCGAATAGCCCTAATATATCATATCGCTGTAAAATATGCAACATCGAACCCCATGTATATATTTTGCAAATAAGCATAGAAAAATAAAAGCAACCGTGTGCTAGTTAGTTGTTTTGTTGTTGGAATCGCCACATATTTCTCTCATTCCTCTCATCCCGCTCACTTCATCGTTTCTGCTGTTTCTTGTTATGGTATTTGATACAGAATTTCGCTGCTTGCTACCCCTACATGCTACCACTTTGCAATGGGGTACTCTCGTACACTTCCAGATTGGGAATAGTATTTTTGCATTTCGTAAGCTCCGTGCATCGTGCTAGAATACCCCTAATTTAATAACTGAAAATGGCATTTGATACACTTGGCCACAAATTCATCGTGGCCTCCTCCAAAATCTCATTAAATGCATTCCAAAGGGATTATGGTGGGATTTTACAGAATCCATCGTAGTCCGATTTTTCGTGAATCTACGAACGTGTGTATTCAAAGTATACGCTCCCTTTCGTAGCTATACGATTCAGTGATAGCCTTTCCCTAGATTTCACGAAAAATCGCACTAGGATGGATTCTGCGATAGCCCTGATTATAAAACATTTGAGAACAGTGGAAAACGCATAAATTATAAATACTCTCTGTTATCTGGATTTTTTTGAGTATGTAGATAGTCTGGATATTCGAATATTAGAACAAAATTAACAGATATTAACCAGACAGCAAAATTAATGGATATTAACGGGTATAGAAAACAGAACGGATATTAATCTGATATCCGGGATTTCGTGTCGTCAAAAATATACATATTTTTCTTATTTCTTATAAAAAAAATATAGTTGATTCAACAGCAAAAGCCACAAGAATACATTATTTAATTTCATATAGAATTCGGGAACATGCAAGAATTACCAAGAAATTTGCATCGAAATTTCCAATTTTTCAAAAATCAATGGTGACTTAAAACGTGCACTTTATTATACTAAAATTTAATGAGCTACAGAATTGCATACTCAGAATTTCTCCCTTGAATTTAAATACAGAAATTACTTCAATGCTATCTTACGAAGAGCACACAGTGGTTCGGATCGCAAATCTAGCTGGACGAAACTATTTAAACAAATACTCGTTAATGGATCTTTACACAACTTCTTACCTAGGGGTTTTCTGGGTCGCTGATTACATATCTAAAGTCATTTACCAAAAATTCAAAATGGCGGATCCATTATGGCGGACGAATATTAAAAAAAAATCGGTAGATTTTTATGTAACTGGGTATCTGCGAGTTTTCTGGGTTGCTGATTACGAATCTAAAGTCATTTACCAAAAACTCAAAACGCCAACATAGCAGGCGAAATATTTAAAAAATCATAACATATGAAACTTTTTTGTTTGTACTTAAAACGATTACAAATTTGTTAAAAATATTTCGCTTTATATTTTTATTTTCAGTTCCCAATAACAAATACATTTTAAAATAATTTTATAGAACAGCTAATTCTTTAATAAAAACAGTCCGTATTCTATTATTATTTACTCTTAATTACTTTTTTCATAAAAATGTCGTTTGTACTTTGTCAAAAATGTGCAGTATTTGAAAAAAAACTCTAAACTTTCGAAAAAATGTCGATACCTTTAATTAGTTCTATTAAAACAAAAAGTTTTTTATTTATTTTTTTGTTGAAGGTGTTGCTCATATTCTCAATATAAAAAAATCATCGAACATACTTCGTATGGCAGAAAACGACTGACATCGTCAACCAAAAAAAATGCCAAAAATCAACGAAAAGCCCTAGGTACTTCAAACTTGCACTTTATTTTACTAAAATTTAATGGGCTACAAAACTGCATACCCAATATCTTTCTAAGAAACCTAATTAAAAACAACGAAATTTTTGCGAGTTTGTTGGTTTTTTTTTCAAATATTGCACAAAGTTTGAAACTTGGATTGATATGTGTTTTGTTAAAGTGCATAGTACATTTTTATGAAAAAATAATTAAGATTAAATAGTAATAAAACAAGTTGTCAAAACTTGTCATTATGTGGGTGTCGTATAGTTATGATAAGCACTAGAATATGTATTATTCTTGACTTTCGTCTTCAACGTCAATGTTTGTTGTTGCTGTTGTAGCAGCATACAAATTCCCCAAAGACTTTTTGGGGAGCGTTGCTGGAGTGACAGTCCTTGGCCAGATATAAGTCTGGGTCGTTCCGGTTACGTAGACCCGACTGTCGTGGGAACGGTCAATGTTTGTTAATTGTGCTTCATTATTATTATTATTTTTTTTATTTACATAACCAAAGTTTTTATAACTCCAAGTATTTTTCTGTTTAAACACACATAACCCCCCCCCCCCCCCCCTCTACTCCCGCTCTCCCGCCGTGGATCCCCCACTGATCTTATATTTATATTCAGATACATTCCTGTTAATAATTACTTTTGAATTTTGAGATTTGAGATACCGTCACTAAAATGTAAATATCTAAGCCAATTGGTTAGACTTGGTTATCGCACTTACCCTCTGCATTTGCGAAGGTGTAAAGAATAATATGCAAGTGGTTTTATAACGGCCTTCGGCAGCCTTTACTTTTCCTACTCTTTAATTTATTTTTTTAATTAATCAAAACGACGATTTTTCAGAATAAATTTGCTTATACCAATGTGGACATAAATTGCGTTATGACCTCTGAATCTATAGCGGAATAAGTGTAATTTTTTGTTTATAAATAAAGTCAATTTGCAATTATGCAAATATTTGTGAGTGCAATTAGCAATCTTTTAAGTTAAATTTCAGCTTTTAAAATATAGTTCTCAAATAGGCGGCGTTGACTTACCTTTTTTTTTTGTTTTCATATATTAATGCTTTAATAAATGCAATTTCTCATTTGAATGTAGTGTCAGGAATGTATTCCAAGTACCATTAAGTATTTTAAAAACAAAAAAATGTTGACTTTCGTCCAGCTAGATCTGCTACCCGAACCACTGTGGAGCATTCTCATTTGCTTATACACGCATTTATATTTTTACTATGTATTTCTGGAGAAATTCTCAGCTAATTCCTTCACATTTACTCGAACGTAATCTACCCTGAAATAAAAACTTAATCCTCAACTAACAGTTCCTGCGCATGGCGACATTTAGTCGGGTATTCGCGTGTGCGAAATTACGCATCTTTAATACTTTTAGAAGTTTTTAATCGTGTCTCCTCGCGTAATCGCCTTATCTGAACAAATAGCCTATTTGATTTGATAATAGTAATCCCTTTTAAAATGTAAATGTTTAACCAGGTATAATATTTAATAAACATACACACACTGAGCTTTTGCAACGTCTATAAAAAGATTTAGCAGCCACAGATCTCAAGTTCCATTTTCAGCGCATTTATGCCAAATATGTATAAACAGATGTCATTAAACTGTCTAAGTAAGCTCCTTGGAGGGCGGCCACCACCTTACCTAACCTAATCTGTGTATATTTGTATGTATGTATGTGCATATGCTTAGGCCTCTCTGAAATTATTATCGGTGTTAATGCTGGTTCCCAAGGTTCTACTTTCTTGAAATTATAACTGTCAAATGTCTGTATTTCATTCACAAAAATTTGAAAAAAACTTCGATTGCATAGCTTAAAAACTTTTTAAATTTTTTCGCTTATTTGAAATTTCGGTTTTGTAACAATCCTTTGGAAATCTATTTTATAGGAACAGAAACATCATTTTACCGAAATAATCCCCCTGATAGAATTTTTTGTTACTTAACAGAGTGCACAATCTTTTAGGTCGATTCTGAAGAAGCGGTCAGGTCATGTGTTGCTGATCTTTACTGCAACTACATAGTACCTACAGCATTTGATCTAATTTTACAACTATTTTAAACAACCCCAGGAAAGGTGTCTTTAGAAACCCTCACACACGTCTGAGCACATCTTTGTACTATGTAAATAGTATTTACTAAATAAAAAGGGGTATTCTACATAATTTACATAAATTAAGTTCGACGCCTCTTTTTTATTTAATTTTTTTTCTGTGTTTATCCTAATTGCATATTCCATGCTATACATACATATCCTCCTTTTTAGCGATTATTGGTACGAAATTTGAATGCGAACATTTACTTTCAATTACAACCTATTTATTTATAAAGCTAAATACCACAAATATCACAGCCAGTTGAACTACTGTGTAACTTCCAGTAAGCCACGTCGTTCGTACAACGGCAAGAGCTGCTTGATTATCCGTTGAACATAGGGGTTCTTAAAGCAAGTATCCTTGAAGCGAATGCCGCGTTCGTCATCTTGCATTATTGCCCGGAAATCCGCGTCTTCGGTATCTGTGTTGCGTTGAATCGGCAAAACAATGCAAGTTGAGTGAAAAGCTGTAAGCAAAGCGCTTTTATTAGAATATTGAACAAAGCAACCAGTTTGCGAAAGCTATCAACTACTTACCGTAAAATGCCTTTTCTTCTAGCTGCAAATGGAACTTGTGCAAGCATGGAATATTGGCTTGGTAGCGTAGTTTGCGCAATGTGTCCGAGAAGGTTTCGTAGTAGCAACGTATAAGTTCATCCTGTTGATTTAAATGCAATCGCTCTTCCAATGAGGTGTTGAGGAAATAGTCCAGATCCAATGCTGGGGAGCCCCAAGTTGCATATTGGAAATCAATGATGATCACATCCAAGGCTTCGCCGGTATTTTTATTATATTTCACCATCACATTATTTGTCCAGAGATCACCGTGCGCCAATACATTTACATGGCCTGGTGTGGCTTCGAACACTTTCTTGCCGATTTTGGCATAGTTGGACTTCAAGCTCGCCAACTTCTGCGCGTAATACTCGTACCCCTCCCACTGGGCAACACGACGACTGCAAGCCATCATCAGTCCTTCAAACCCGGGCATATAATTGTCTGTGTGCTGATTGAAGAAACCACGATCATAAATTTCCAGGCAGCCACTTTCGCGTTCATTCAGCACTGCAGATGTAGCATGCATCTTAGCTATCTTGCGCAGCACCATTCGGGACAAATCCATATTTAGTCCGTCCAACCGATTGGGCATGATAAATTCACGCACGTTGAGATCCTCGAAAATGAGAGCGGAACGTTCACGATCCACCGCCATTGTTTCGGCGAAGATCTGTTCGTTGTCGCCGATCTCATGCAGCAGTGCGTTCAACTTCGGCAACACCTGTTCATAGATGGACATTTCGCGATTAAAAATATCGTAGGGTTCCATTGTTTTACGCGCAAACTCATCAGCCTCATAGGATGTCTTCACAACATAGTGCCCAGTGGCCACGGTGCCCGCGCCCGTTTGATAGTCGGCGCGTATGCGGCTCAAAACACCGCCATAGTTTTCACCTTTTCCCAGCGCTGGCCGGATGTGCCACTTGAGTATTTTTAGATGATTATCTTGGTGGTGAGAACGCAAACAGCGTTCCAGGTAGTCCTTTGTGAGCCAAGCAGGCGCATGTGACTGCTCGAAGTCCTCGCTATGTTGGGAAGCGTTGGAGCCGCTAAAAACTTCCTTCGACAGTTTCGACAGCAAATTCTCAGTTGAGCTCATAATACTTATATCAGGCGTCGACATATTGCACTCTTATCAACCAGAAAACTACAGTTTCAACAATTTTGGTGTTGTAGCAAACATGCGCCCTACTCAAGGCTTAAAAGTCAAATAACAAACGCAATGCTACAAAAGCTGACTTTTTATCTATCACACAAGCGAAGAGAAATACACATCCGAGGACCGAGACGATACGACTTAGACTACATACTTTTATGAGTACTCTGATTTATAGCATTGTTATAGAAGAAACACATTTTTTTTAAGTATTTATTTAAATAAGCTCAGCTGCCACAACAAGTAGCCGTACAAATTTTTGAGATGAATATTTGTAAAGCGCAAATTCTAACCATAAATTAGCGTAGAAAGTAAGTTACATGTACTCCAAATACGTAAACGCTTAAATATATATATATGTATGCAGGTAAATACTATGTACGCAAATGGAAAAACAGCACCCTGTCGAAAATATTTTAGTTACGAATAATTTCTTGCCGCCAAATGTGAGGCTAATTTCTTCCACTGTTCTATTTTAATTAAGTAAGAGAGCCAGGGTGGCTATTTTAGCAACTCTTGTTGTAACGTTGTCCTAACAAATCGAGAGGCAGAAGGCCTAAACTCCAACGCAATGATGATGACTTTTTCGTTACACTATGCCAGTATATCAGAATGGATCCAAAGGCTTGCCTATAGATCTAGCTATACATTTATAGACGGCTAGTTTTTGTTGTGGCTCAAAGCGCTGAACCTAGAATTTGTACATCTCCGTAGAGAGGATAAGGTCCATTTTTATCGAAACGACATTTAGAAAGCTTTATGCTGCTAACGGAAGTCTCTAACCTAAGTAATAGATAACTCTCGCATTCAAGTTTTTTCACGAAGGTATTACCAAGTATTTCAAATCAGCCTGAAACTTTGTTCAAAACTAACAAACCTCGCGAATGTCGACCGGATATTGAGCAGTGCTCGTTGTATACACCCTTACGGCGTAGATTTAGACCAGGCCGGCCTGGGCTAGGGAAGCTGAGTAGTCACCGAACCTACTACTCCGAAATACATATGTGAACTTAATCGCGGAATCATAGAGACAGAGGTCCACATCGAACGAGCCAGCTACGCCGGCTAAGAAGGCTAAACGCTATGATGAAGCCATGCCGTCAAACATCAAGCGTGATTCCTAAGTAGCGGAAGAAACAAATGTGAAGGCCAATAAACAGAACCGGCTTGACTGTTTGCGTGGTTCCACAAGCTGAAAATCATTTAATGCAAGGATGACCACTCACTAAAATTACCGAACGAAGTGGTCTAGATGCTCTGCTTTAAATTCTCGACTGAAACGGTATTCGGTCACAAGCAAAGACGAAGGTGCTTATATATCAAATGATTAGTCAAGGAAACGCAGTAGCAGAAGGTGTAGCAGGTTTCGAAACAAAGTCGAGGGATGGAAGCCAGAACTACATCCTCAAAATAAATAAAACGGCGGATGATCTGCTATACGCGCGACTTTAAAGGATGCACCGATGGACGGCTGATGTTAATATGCCGGAGGAGGGTGAGGTGGCAAAAGATTCCGGCATAGGAGACATTGGAAGCATTATACATATATGCACATACCTAATGCTAACCGCTCAGCGATATCATAAAATGTCAACGAAATATACGTAAGCGGGGAGAAAAAGTTAAACATTTTTAGTGCAATGACGCTCGAAAGGTGCGTACGGCACTGGGAATGCTCTCACGAGGTCACAATGCAAACATGTATGAATTTTAAATTGAATGTCACCATGTCGGGAATTATTTTTAAATCGCATATTCTATTTGAATTGAAATAAACCTACTAAGTACATATGTACATGCTTACTTAAGCCGCTTCGTAGTCATAACAAAAAGGAAGGCATACAAATATTATTTATAGCGCTGCCAATTAACTAACAGCTCTTCTGTCTGCCTCAGTGAGCATTTGAATTGCGTCGCTTTTATCTAATCCGCAAACTAATAAAGAGCAAGATTTGCTTAGGAAAGCGCTTTGACTTGTAAACTTTGGGAAGGTAGCATCTTTAACCCGCTAAAGCCGATCATCAAAGACCAAGATTGTTTAACGTAAAAACGTTTTATTTTTTTTCTTCAGTCAAACGCCAAAATCGGAATTCGCAGGTGGAAGTGCAGATGGGTTAAACAAAGCCTTGAAGTCTGAAAGACCTTTTTACGATCGCAAGACACCCCAGTCGTAAACGTTAATCTTTGCGTTGTGAAAGATCTCCAAATGTTTCAAATATTATCAGCTTATCGATTTCTTTATTTATTAGATATAATTAGTTACAGCGGAGAACTTAGCTACCAGGGCTTTCGGCTGATTATCAACTTAACCCTCATCTTACCAACATAAAAAAGTTGCAAATCTTACCAACATGTGTCTTCAAGACACATATATGAAAATTAAATGATAATGATTGAAACTTGAAAAGATTCGGGAGTAATGTTCTGTTTTGACACCATCCAGGTCGGATGCCAATTTTTCCAAACAAGCATTATCCGGCTATTTCACAAATGCCAATTAAATGACAGAAGAATTTGAACGGCCGTCTATTCTATTTTCTGCGGCAAGTAAAACTATGCGCAAGTTGGTCCAAAGTATCTACTGCGCCCTTAGTTTGATTGCAATACAAATTTATTTCTGAGTTGTTTTTGTTTTGGGTGTCGAAAGTAGGTACCGAATGCATCGAAGATAGGGAAAGAACTGCTCTTTTTGGTGCTGAGACATAAGACACCAAAGCCATATTTTTGGTGAAACCCAATATATTTGTTTCGATTTGCTTTCCTGTTTGGTAACACAACGTGTACCTGTGAGTGATTAATTTAGTCAGTTGATTTTTTTTTTAATTTTTTGTTGAGGGTGTTCAGAGTTTTCTTCCATGTAACGTATGAACAAAATCTATTTTTATATGAAAGGAAAAACACCCTCGACAAAAAACAAAAATCTAAAAAATCAACGGTAGTTTTTAGTGACTTGAAACTTGCACTCATTATATTAATTTAATGGGCTACAAAACTGCATACTCGAAAATTGTTTAAAAATTCTGAATAAAAAGTTTAAAATTTTTTGAAGTTTGATTCATTTTTATGGACTTTGTGGAATTTTTGAAAATTTTATTTCTGTGGTTTCTGTTATAGATCGAACTATATTTTGAATGAATATTAATAAACATCAATAAAAAAAACAAGAGTTGTAATAAATATAATTTTAAATTTTGCTATCTACTATTATTTTCAGCGCTTCTATACATACGTACATACGTACATACATACATATATATATATATACATATAGTTTTATTGTTTTGCTTTATCTGACCTATATTCGTATAAATAAGCATTTTAGTTTATCGTTATTTTACGAAAAA